AGTCTAATTTTCTTTTTAAATTTAGACCTTTAGATTTGTGTAGTTGGTCTGTTTTGTTATTTAAAGAAAGGTGGAAGAAGGGACTGTGCTGAGATGTGTACAAAGCTGAACTTTTTTTTTCTACGTACAAGAAAGCTGTTCAAAGTGAGTGGAAACATGGATGAATCTAAATACAGGACAGCCTGTAAGAAAATCTGTCAGAGGCTGTAAACTGCCTCAGACCGTTGAAGTTCACCTTCTTACAGTATTTAATTACCATGCAGCCTGAATTGAGAAGGCTTCATGTATTATTATTATTTACTATATTATTGAATAAAGACATTGTCAGGATAAGACCCTGATAAACGCCTCAACACGAGGGAAACTGGCTTTAGAGTAAATAAAATGCCAGTATTTTTAAACTTTTTTTTCAGTTTATAATATATGCAGTCAGAAACCCTCTTAAACAATTCTTTACCATAGCAGAAATGACAGCATTTATATATTCTAATTTTCAGCTTTTCTGTAAGGCCTCCACAGTTAAACTGTGATGGAGAAGTTGTAACTGCTTGCTCAGCTTTGCTGATGATGTTTTTAATGTTTGCTTCATGTGTTTATAGTGAACATTTAGGCCGATTTTTCTGCTTGGTTTGCTGCAGGCAAAGCTACTGGCTCTGCAGAGAGAGATTGATGAGCTGTCCCAGCCCACACACCCAGCCAACCCTTTGGTTAGTATTTCCTCCCTCTAAATGTAGATAAGTAAGCCTAGTTTTTAGATTGAATCTCTACTTTTATATCCAAAGTACGGTAACTGATGTCTTTAATTATGATCTTGTTTAAACCAGAAAAGAGAGACGATTAGGAATAACAGGCCCACAGAAACAAAAATGGAGGAGGAGACCTGTGAGATAATGAAGAAGGAAAAAAAACATAAGAAGGAAAAGATGGCTCCACCTGAAGTCCAAAACAGTGGGGCTGAGGACGAGAGCCAAGCTAAGATGAAGAAAAAAAAGAGACGGAGACAGGCCAAAATGGTGGTAAAAGAAGAGCAACAGGAAACTGAGCAGGAGGAAAAGAAAAAGACTAAAAGGAAGAAACATGATGGTATTAACATCAGCGCTGTAGAGGTTGAGACAAAAAAGAAACTGTTAGAACAAGATGTGAATCAAGCTGAAACGGTTACTTTAAAGGTTGAAAAATTAGAAAAGAAGAAAAGGAAAGAGAAGAAGATAAAAGATAAGTCTTTACACATCGAACCTGTTCATACAAAGAAAGGAAACAAAGAAATGCAGATTGGAGATGAGAATCCTCCCAAGAAACCCAAGAAAAAAAAAGATAACATTGTGTTTTCAAGCGAAGCAGCAACTAAAGAGATAGTTAAAGACAAGAAAAAGAAGAAGAAATTAGAAATTGCTGATGCCTTTGTTGAAACAAAAGCAAAAAAAAAATCAAAACTTGTAGAAAATGGGAATCATGTAGAACAAGAAACTGGGGTTAAGGAGGTAAAATTAAAAAAGAAAAAAAAGCGTAAAACCGAGGGGTTTGAAGGCGAACTTGAAGAAACTGAAATTCAAAGAAAGAAGAAAAGAAAAATTGAGGATCCAAAATCCTCAAAAAAGATAAAGGAGACGTTCATAAACAGTGAGATGGTTGCAGAGGAGGAAGAAACTAAGGCAAAGGCCAAAAAGAAAAAAAAATCCATAGAGGATGATGGGATGGCACAATCAGAGGAGACAAAAACAAAGAAGAGAGGGAAAAAAATAAAAGTAGAGGAGGAAGAGTTGGACCAGCACATCACTCTGACTGCCGATCCACCGAAGAAGAAATCTAAGAAAACAGCTAAAGGGAATCTGGACATTAATACAGAGGCCAAGGCTGGAGAGAAAAAGAAGAAAAAGGTAAAAAAGGAGAAGGAAGATTCACAGGTGAGCCTAGTTAAGAAATTTTTGATAGCCTCTTTTTAAATTTGTGGAATGGTCTGGAACTAGTCTGCGTTTGTTGTTTCAGGAGTTTCCTCAAGTTGATGTAGTTTTCCTATCAGCAAAGAGTGGAAACAAAGACGAGGTTGTCGTTAATCAGGTAAAAACAGCTCTGTCTTTTAGTTGAAACTAGCCAAAACCTGGATGGAAATATTCCTCAAAAAATATTTCAAAAAGAACACTTTTTGATTTGCAAAATGGTGACTTATTTTATAAGAAAAAAAGAAGTTTCTTAGTGTTTTTAAAATGTTCTAAAAGTGTTAGTATGTCACCAGTTATTGGCCGTTAAATCTTTTTCACCTGGCAACTCTTGGGTCTATAAGTGAAATAAACTTTGTCCAAATTAATGAGATTTTTCATACATCAGATTTTCTCAAATCCCAACTAATGATCAGTCATCTCATTCAAACCTATATACATATTACCATAGGCTGTCATCTGAAATATAAAAATGACTAAATTTGTTGACAGATTTTAACTTTACAGTAAACATGTTTCTATAAACTAGAATAGATTTGAAGCAGAGTCTAATATATAGTCGGGTAAACATGTGGAATATTTCCATTGACTGTCCATTATATTACCAGAGTAGATATAACCAGCATTGAGATCTGCTGTATTTTCAGTGTCCCCTCTATTTGTTAGAGCTGTTTATTTTATTGCTGATGGTTTTGTCCCAGGAGAGAAGAAAAGCTCTTCAAATGGAGATCGACGAGGCTTCCCAGCCTGACAAACATACAGTCAGTATCTTTTTTTTATTTTTTACATATCTTAGAAGGGGAACGCATTTTTCTAGTGATTACAGATGACATTGCATTCTTCTTATCTACTAAATCAGAAGCAGGCTTCTGAAACTCACCTTTCCTCCCCTTGTCTCTTTAGGGTCTGGGCCAGTGGAGTACGGCTCAGTTCGACAGCTCCCAACAGCAGCAGAAGTTCCTGCGGTTGATGGGTGGCTTTAAAAAGGACTCCCAACCAGCAGGGACGACCAGCAGAGGAGCCAACATGGCACTAGGAAAGGATGCACAGCAGCAGCTGCAGCAAGGGCTTCTGGGAGAGTTTGAGCGAGCCCAATCACGGAGAATGGACTTCAATAACAGGGGGGCTGGGCTTGGGTTCACAGCGCCGTCCAATAAGAAGTTCAGTATCGATATCAATGCATCTCGATCTATCCGCTTTGATTCCTAACCTGGGTGAATTTTTTTTTACCTCCACAATGGTGAGTTTTAACTCACCAGCAGGATGTCGGTTATAACTGATCTAAGTGTAAAATAAGTGAATGAGTCTGGAAAAAATGTCACTTTTGAGTGGCAACCTTGTGGAGAGAAACATTTTGAAAGTTTCTTTGAATTTTTTTTTTTTTTAAATAAATGCCTAAAAACAACCCTAATGTTGCTTCATCCGGTTTGACATTTTTTTTTTTAAATGCCTTAAGAAATAAAATGTAGAAGTTAAGTACTGAAGGGTTTGAAAGCATATCAGCATTGGAGAGATCTGGACACAGAAAAAATAGGTTAACAAAAAAGACTGAAGACATTGCTTAGATAGTCATTTATTTTGAGTTATGCAGTTATAGTCAAGGAAAGTAAGAACAGCAGAAAAAACCTCTTGTTCCTCATGAATCATGAACATTCAGCTGGAATATTGCACTGAAATCATTGTGCCTCAGTATTCCAAACATAACTTGGTTAAAGTCTGACTAATTCTGGCTTTCCAGTTAAACACCAACATAAACATGCCATGCTACAGCTTAACTCAATATAATGCAGTTTGGACAGATAAGAGTTTCTTCAAGATTTTTTTTACTGCTAGATTAGCCAAAGGACCTATAAAACAAGAATTACTAATCATTTTGAGTGCTTTAGTCATGAAAGTCTGTAATATATGGAGTTTTTTAGACTGATTTGTTTATTTTTTTGCAAATGCATAGAAGTTCCTGAAAATACAGTTTTTTACTCTTTAGTGGGATTTAATGGAGTATTTAAAAACCGTGAGTATCTAAGGAATAACATTTATTATAACCCCATAATGTAAGCTATCAAAAAGGGCCCATTTAGGGGAAAAAACCCTGAAAACTTTATTTTGCTTCAAGTGATTGTATTTCTGTAAATCTTCACACTGCATGAATTTCACTTTAGGGTAGTCAACTTTCAAACTTAAATTTTAGGACACCAAGTGTCTCTGAGCAGGACTGTTAGCCTGACTCTCCCTTAAAATGCTTAATATATGTATAAATGTGCCATAAAATGAGAGCGTGTATAAACAAATCGCTCCACAGAACCTCATTCAGGTTCAAAAGGCGTGCTATACAAATACCGACTATTCCCTTTTAGTACTGTCCACGTTAAAACCGTCACATTGTACGGTTAGAACGCAGAGCATGGTCCATTTCAACACGGTTTGTGTTAAGGACAATGTCATCAGTACCCAGTTATGGTTACTACCAGCCAAGTGGTGCAGCAGAGAAATACAGAGCAGAGCATTCACCTTAGAAGCTTGACATGTTTTAGATGGTAGAAATTAAAGTTTAAATGTAACCTTGGATCCTTTATCCTAGTTTTAAATACTCCATGTGATCCCACTGTGATGACATCTGAACTGTACCTTCAAAGCCATAGACATTATACCTGCAGTGTTAAAACTACAGTTAACTTTGACATTTCATCACCTCAAATCAGAGAATCTAAGGAATAAAAAAAATGATAGAACCAAAGGTGTTGTGAAGTAAAATTTAAAAAAATGCATGGATTTCAAATGTTTAAATAAAAATCTAAAAGATATGGTGTTCACTTTATTTACCTCCCTCACTCAGGAAGCAACTGAAAGTCTTTTGGGTTGCATGGATTACTTGCTGACTTTTATCAGGCCATTCTAAACCACTTTCCAACCTGGACTGCCCTGTATTTAGCTACATCCCACTACTGTGACCAGTTACTCTCTCAGCTGAAGATCCCACATCCCCACCACATGAATCTACCACCATGGGTTCAGTATGTTAGGCTATACATTTTTCAAAGGACTGTTTCAAGCTGAGCATTTCTGTTTAGATGATAGGTCACAGTCTGTTAGGATTGCAGCTGTTATATTCTTCTCATTTAAAGATATCTGGCTGATCAGGTCTCTAAGATGCTCAAAGTTTGCCATTTTGTTCTATCACAAAACTAATTTCTCAGACTTAATTCAAAAGCAGGGGGACTCTTATCAACTCTGGAAAGCAGTGGGCTGGGAAGAACTGATACATGAATCTACAAATTTGAAAACCATGCATTTCTTTCTCCAATTTCAGGTTTATGCAATTCTTTGTGTTTGCTGGTGAAGGTTCTCAATCATCCAGGTCATAGTCATAAAAAAAATAAAAAAAAATAAAACAATTGATAGTTGGGAACAAGTCTTTGCTGTCTGTATCTTAAATTGAAACAAAGATGGTTCCTATAATCTGCAAGTTTCCAAACCAATTTCTCATTCTCAAGCATTATTCCGTGGGAGTCTTTCCCAAAATAGAGTGCATTATGCTGGTGAAGGTTCTCAGTCATCCAGGTCATAGTCACTCCAAAAAAAAATGAAAAAGACACTAAGATGGATATGGGGTATTGCGGTCTAACAAAAGAAGCCGAACGACCCCCATTCCAAATGGGTAGATCACTTCGTTTGTTCCAATTAGCACGTTTTCCAAACAAAAACAAGGCTTTGTTAGACTACTGTATAAAAACTCGAACTCAACGCTATTCCTGACATTTTGAGGATGGGAAATGATATTCAAACTTGGAAACCAAGTCTAGTGGATTGTTTAAATTTAAAGTTTTAAAGTGATGATTTATCATATGACAGCATGGAATTAACATTATTGTGATGATTTAGAATCATTCAAAGTGGTATGAATATTTCTAGACATCCCTGTATGTTCGTGGTTGGTCCTTTTTAGAATAAATCTTAGCTACAAATCCTAAACTAGGCAGCAGAAAAAAACCATCAGGTCCGGTTTAAATTTAGACCCTACATTTTTTATTTTAGGTGTGTTGGGCACAACAGGCCTCTGATTCTTATAACATTGATTGATTGATGACAAAATGACAAGTTAAGGACATGGGGCACAAATATTTAGTGCCCGTTTTCTTTAATAACTTCAAAAGTTTAGACATGGCCTCTAAATAAGTGGCTTCATCCTTCAGCAGAACAGCAGCAAAGATACTTCTGTCCGACTCTGCAATAATACTAGAAAAACATTGAATTCATTTGAAACAGAACCTTTTCCTCTGGGTAGAAAATTTCCTAAAATCTTAGTAACCTTAAAACGTTAAATCCTGACCGGATGCAATCCTACTCTGGTTTCCAGGACGATATTCAGGATGGCTCTGACTATCTCTGTTTTTGGCCATTGGACCTTTAAAAAAACAAAACAAATAAATTTTGTGGAAATAAAAATAAATCTTTGTCAGTTTGGTCTCGCTGGGCTAAATCTAGCACAATGAAAATGTGTAGAAGCAAAAGCCATAAACAAAAGACTTAATGAGCCCCCATCAGAAAAAAAAACAGACAAATGTCAGAGGAAAAGAGTTAGGAGGCCACTTGATAGAAGGTGCTTGTTTTCTCCCCCAAGGCGGGGTGTGACAGACTTTTAGTTGCTCTCATGCTTCCAGGTATTCGGGCTGCACTCGGGCCACTTTCCGAAACTCTTTGGCATTGGTCTGCGGGCACTGCATCTCACGCCAACTGATGGGGATCATCTGGGCACCTGGCAGAGCAAACAAAGAAATAGAGGTGAATAATATGTTAAATGTATAGTTCTTTTTCCAGGTGAATCATCGAAATATTGAAATATGAACGAAAAGGGAATGTTTAAACTAGTGGTGGGCATAGATTAATTTTTTTTAACTAGATCAATGTCACTAATCTTGGAAATAATCTAACTTAAAAAAGCTCATTTGAATTCTGCCAAAGGGCTTCATGGATCAGAGTCAGAATTACATTATTAATCCCTTTTTCTTGCAGTGCAACCATTTATAAAAGATAGGAAAAACAAGATTTTAAATGCAAATAAGATATAAGAATAAAATAAGGATAATAATAAAATGAGATAAGGATGATATGTGTGTGCCGTCTAAATAATAAGTAAAAGCAAGTCTTTGAACAGGTTTCTGAAGCCAAGTGGTGTGGTAAACCAGGGGCTAATCTCCTGTTTCCAAAATGCATCTCAAACTGCTTGAGAAGTCTTTTCTACTATGATAACTGCAGATGAAAATAAATAATATTCAACAAGATGTATTTGTGTTTATTCAGATTAACATGAATTCTGAAATGTAGGCGTACATAATAGATCATGATGAACTGTTTACAGTCAGTAGCTTTGTGTCAGTCAGTCAAAGCCCTATTTCTCCTTTTTCCACCACTCAGTCAGGCAGTCGTCCTGTGAGGCTGGAGTAGCCGCAAAGGCTGCTGGGTAATGTCAATATGGGGAAAGCATCCCCATTTTATCCTAGTTTTGTGTTAAAAAAGGTTGTTTATGTTGGTAATCATGCTAAGCTAACATTATTTTCTGGACAAGCATGTCCTGGAGTTTCGTATTGTATAAACAGCTACGTGACTTGACCTTTGTTTCAGCATATGTTACTTACCTACTGGCAAAAAAGCTACAGTATCAAAGTGAAAGTCATCATTAATATAGACCCCTAACTTTGAGAATAGATTAATTGCAATATTTTGTTAATTGCCTTGATAAGAGTCTGGTGTTAATGCAGCATGTTAAAGCCGATATAATGGCCCACTCCACTAGTTTAAATATATTCTCAATGTTTTCCTAATTGTTATGCATGGTTGGCCTAAAATTGAGAGTTTTGGTGGAAAGATAAATTCAAATTAATATGATTTTTACTTGTATAATGACACATTTTAGTTGATGTGCTAAAGTCAGCATCCGATGAATATGTTCTTTGCTCAGAGGACGGCATTTCTCGCTTTTGCTATCAATACCATTCTATAGCCTTTCTGAGAAAAAAAACTAAGAATATGTTTAAAAGCTCCTTTTTTTGTTCATATTTCAATACATTTTCTCATCAACGTGTGAGAGTTATGGAAGACGCACGCTCCCGCGTCAGGGCAGGTGTGTCTCTGCATTAATCTGTCCACCAAAACTCTCAATTTTAGAGCATCCATGCATAAGAAATATGAAAACATTATGAATCTGTTTAAAAGTTTCCTTTACATTCATATTTCAATCTGTTTCCGCATCAGTGTTCAAAGGGGACGTCATTCTTGGGAGGCAGCTATTTCTCAGCATAACATGGCGAGTCTGAAATAGTGGAAAATTGCAAATCTTCTTTTGGAAAGTAAGCTTGTATGAGTGATGCAAACAGCAAATTTTAAACAGAGCATGCAAGAGGAGATGTGAGCTCATGCATGGTCTTGCACATGTTAAATAGACTTTCTTTAAGTAAAAAATATTACAAGTGATGCTTAGAAGAAGTGAGATGACTTCCACTGATATGATGGAAAATAAGAATCACCCAAATTCTTGCAAATATTTTCAGAATCAAGCTTAAAAATGTGCCTGTTTTAAGCGTTTCTAAATAAGCAGTGACAAATTCATCACAGTGGAACAGAAATTAAAAATCTTCTTCCTGCTGACGTCCTGTGCATTTGGAATGATCTAATTAAAGATCTGTAAAGTGAACCACGGGAATTACCTGCTTCGCTGTGAGCCACCACCACACCCAACTCATTCTCTGCCGTCGTCAGCAAGTATGTGGACTGAACGTCTCCGAGGGAAATCTGTCGTCATGAGTTAAGGTTTCAACTCTAAACAGGGCAGGAGCAGGGTTATTAGCGTAGCACCCTTTCTTCATAAGGTCCTTCAAAGTGTTTTACAAGAACATTTAAAGTATGGAGAAAAAGAAAGACAATTGAATAAGATTCAAATAAGCTCTTGAACTTTACAATCAGTATGCACACATTGTTTAAACAAATACTAAAATTACCTGTTCACACATATCCTGCTCTCAAGAAACCGATGAAAAAAAAAAAAAAAAAAAACTTGTTTTATGGTACGGCTTTTAATTTGAAGGGCCAGTCACATGCAGCAAAGGAATCCCAAAAGACAAAAAATGAAAGCATCTAAGGTATGTGCTACAGTCATGAAGGATTAGTCACAGACTTAAGAATAAGACCAGTATAGGATACAACTTTTGCCAGAACAATGTCACCAGGTCGGAAGCTTTTGTGTATGTCCACCTGTAACAAAAAAGGGAACACAGCTTATAATTCATACATCTTCAAGATGAACTGAGGAGGAGGTGTAAGCAATGATGAAGGAAGCAACGATTTGAGTGAGAGCGTCAATCATCACTCACCTTGTCTTTCTCAGATTCTCTGACATCTTCTTTTCTGTTGAGACGCAAACCAGAATATTTAACCCAGTAAGGCAATAAAACAAGCCGTTTCCCTAAGTAAGCACTTCCTGCTTTACCTGATGGTCCCTCTGAAGCGATCTTTCAGTGGTGTGGACCCGACGTAAAGAATGTGGACCTTTGCAAACCTGGAGTTGATGCCAGTCACCTTTTAGATAAAACATAAATCAAATTTAAGTTTTTGAAAACAACTACAATTCTCTGCTTAAAAGCCTTTTCTATTTATTTGGAAAAAAGGAGAGATAGATCTCTTCTACATTATGTCCTTTTTTTATTCTGAAGGAAACATGTTTACTTATTTTTTGTGATCTATATAATGTGGATAAATTGCTATTTAATTCTTTTATAAAAAGTACTAAATTTTTACACAAAATAATTAGTGGTGGGGCACAATTGAAATTTTCAATCAAGTTGATTACAGACTCTAAAATTAAAAGGTATATTTTTGCGAATTTTTGAAAAGACCCGTTCTCTCCACTTAAAAAAAATAAATAAATTCACATGTACAACCCTGTAACCGCTCCCGAGAGGGAGCGCTCATTAAACGCGAGTGAGAGCATGCAAGCTTACTTTCCAAAAGAAGATTTGCAATTATTCCACTATGTCAGACTCGCCACCGGTAAGTAAAGATGGGGACGAGCACGAAGGACGGCCTTACGTAAACATATCACCAAATAGATTGACAATTAGAATGACCACTTATTTTGATGATTCACCCGGAAAAAGAACATCCTCCACTATATCTTTAGTTAATCACATTTAATAAAAAAAACATATAGCGATAAAATAAACCACCTTTTCTGTCAAATACTTTAATTCTCTGTAATTTAATACATATATATACATATACATATATATATATACATACATATATATATATATATATATATATATATATATACATACATATATATATATA